AAAACCCCAAAACCCCAAAACCCCATTGAATTAGATTCTTGGTAAATCATGAAATTAAGATTAAAATGAAAATCATATAATTTCTCAAATAATCCTAGGGGAATTTAACTTCATCTTATAATTTTAAGTCTTTTTTGGAGACCTCTTATATCCTCATCATCATCCTTTTCTGTCTCTTGGCTATCAACAGTTCTGATATATTTCTATCTTGATTAATCAACATAAGATTTTGTCAAAGGCATATGATAGAATACTTCAATTTCTTAATAATTTTCAAATCTCTTTCTGGCATTTTTAATGCCTCTTTCTTTTACATCTTATTTTTTATGAGCTACGTAAACCTGAAAGTTGAAGTGGACTAAGTAAACCATATAGATGATAAAGCCAATAGCAGTAATTGAAAAGAGCACGTAGTTTATTTTGATCTTGCTTGGATCTACTCTTACTTGATTGAGTACAGTCAATTTGACATTGAAATATGTTTTTAATCCTAAATCATCGACATATTAGATGTCTATTCTAAAAACTCCATAGTCAGTAGCCTATCCGAAAATGGTTCTATTGTCCTCATTGAATTTAATCCATTAAGGCAAATCGATACCGTAACTTCCCCTCATAGACATTGTGGCATTTCTATTAATTTCAACATCTCTGAAAAGTTAAATATCAAGTGAAATATTGAACCAATCATTAATGTAAATAGTCAAGTCGTCGCTGAAGTGCCTTACAACTGTCTTTGGGTTATAATTTGGAACAACTTTAAGATTAAATGCAAAAGCCTTAGAATCATGACTGACTTAGTTCATTGCTCTGAGCTAAACCTTTAAAGTCATTACTGTGGGAGCCACTCCATAAAATCCTCTGCTTACAGGATCGAAATGAAGCCATGTAGGAAGTGGTTCATCATCCAAGGTTGAAGCGTATACAACTAATGGTTCATCATCTCCAGGATCATAGAAGACAAGATTGGGCTGTGTAAAGTAGAAATATTAGCCCTGAGTCACTACTTAGTCTTTATATTGCTGTACATTTCTTCTCTGGTATGGCCTATAATCCTTAACTACGATGGTGAAGTAAATATGAGATGTTTCCCCATGAGGGTCGCTTGCTTATATTTTAATTAGTGAAGTTGTCCCTAACTAAGAAGGCTTTCCGGCCAGCAGTTTATTTGCTGGGTAAAAATCTAGCCCTATTTCTCTTATGCTGCTCAATTCATTAGAGTCAGGAATTGAGAAACTAAGTGGATCTCCATCTTGGTCATAGAAAAGATTAGAAACATTGTAAGCATAGTATCTATCTATTCCAATTCTTACTTCCTTATAGATTACTCTATTTTTGGGCTTAACATTTACTAACAGAGTTTTGTAGAAAGAATATGAACCATCTTTAGTGTCAAAAGCTGTGAACTTCAAATTCATTAATCTACTAGCATCAGAAACCATTGGATAGCCTCTTAGCTCACCGGTGCCTTTATCAAATCCAATCCAGAGTGGTCTGTCAGTAGAATCACTCATTGTCAAAGAATAAGTAAGAGTATCAAGATCGGGATCAGTAAACCAAGTGGCTGAAAAGATATTAATTATATTTGAGTAATCATCCTTAACCCAGGGAAATATATCATCAAAGTATGTGGTAGGTAATCCATCTGTGGGATCTATATTTGAAAACTTGTAATTTATACCAATTGTTTATGGAGATGGAATTTAATTGATCTTGATTGAAAATGTTGCAGTGGGTATTGAATTCTGGCTATATTGGTCCTAATATTAATAGTTAAACGTCTTTGTTCCAATGTTATTTAGAGTGGTTTAAAAGGATTATCCAAACATCATACCCATCCATTTGATCTGCTTAAATCCACTAATATATGGTGTTGTGTATGTCAACCACACAGTATGATCTGTATGCTTGTAAGTTGTATCTAGTGCATCACTAGATGTATCTGCGTCTGTAAAATAAGTCGTTGTCATTGACCATTAGAAGTATTAGCCTACTGCCCCATATTTATCATATTAGATCGTATATGGTGTGATACCAGTCCCAAAAGTGCTCACAGGCGTCGTATCCTTTGGACTTACTAAGAATGTATTGATAGCATATTCCTCAATATCATTATAGCAAAATACATCAATGTAGATATCACCCAGGCTTTCTGGATACATAACAAATGTCTTATTTTACTCATAAAACATCATCCAGTAAGGAATCATAGTTGAATTAAAATTAGTAGATGTTGAGGCAGTAAGAAGCTTATTTCTTTTTACTTTGAAATAGCTACAACTTGTAGTAAAATAGCTGTCTATATTTGAAATGGAATACTTCTATCCTAATACAGGTGCAATATCAGGAATATTTTATTTATTTTCTGGAGGAAATAAAGTCTCATCGTCTACTATTACTTTAACTATAAGTGAGGTCTCATAACGTCTCTGAGATCTAAAGAGATAGTTATCAGCATAATATCCGTAATGAGTATTAGGGCAATCATAAGTTGTCGTGTATTAGTAACTTAAACTGTTTCCCTAAATCCAGAGATAATGTATTCCTTCATTTATAGATGTTGCAAGAGAAAGATAACTCTATGAAGATACATCACTAGTAGAAGTAATAGTAATGCTTGAAACTGTGCCTGAAGTTTCGTAACCTTTTTAGTAAAAATCCATTTTATATAAGCTAGTTGGGTCGAAACCTGCATCAGTGTAATGCAAGCATATATTTGGTAAATTAGCATATTAGGTAAAGGTAGAAGTCTTAACAAATCTGATTGGATCTGTTTAAGACATGGAAGCATGTGAATCTGCCATTTAAGATTTGGTCATAGCTTTATCTGTTAAGAATCCAGTTGTGTAAATATGTAGTGTGATAAGAGTTACAGGCTATGAAAAACTAAGTGTGAATATTTTCTCATTTATCTAGTGAGAGGATATAGATGCATCTGAAGTTTGGTAAGAAATTACAGATGATTCAGTCAGGTAATTGTGGGTAAATGAAAATGTTGTACTTGTTGAAGGATAGAAAGGGTTGTCGTTATTTGTATACTTTTTAGGTCTGATAAATCTTTTGCCTAGATATTCAGAGACTCCCTTATATAGAGCATTAGTTTACTTATATCTAGCTTCAAATGTCATTCTCCAATGAGTCTTTGCATAGAGCCAGACGATTTCACTAGAAACAGCACCCAGTCTATTTGAATCTGTTGTGCCTGTGATATAAATAAATCCTAAATCATCTACTGCAATAGAGTAACCAACGGTGTTACCATCCCTATCACCGAAGTAAGCTGCCTCTAATGGAAATGCACTCATGCTACCAGCAACAAATGTTGAGACTTAGATTTTAATAATAAACCAATTGTAGTAACTTCCTCTATTGGTATCATCAGTGCAATCTTGCTCAAAAATAAGGTTAATGTCATCATAGGTACAATAGTTATTAGTTTAAGTGCCATCATTGTCAATACAAAACATGTAAGGCCAAAAACTATATCTCTATGTGGTAGTGGTATAAGTAGTAAAAAGACGCTCGTAGACATTTTTCTTGAATTAGTCATTCCGACAATTCGTTGAGTACCATGGCTTCTCAGTATTAATAGATGAAAGGGCCCACTTGCAATCATTATTTGCAGCATTAACTCCATTAGAAATGTAGTCATCGGATGAGCCTAATGTCCCTGACCAATCAGAACACTCAGAAAATCTTACGTTTTCTATACTGCAATCAACAGCATTGTAGTCAAAGACATAGAAATCGCAAGTCGTCCAACTATAAATGTCGCCATTACGATAGTCTGTCATGTAGTCATCAATTTAGTTAAATAAGTTGTCTTCACAGTAATTAATGATGCTAGTATGATGACTTGCAATCAATGTATTTGTTGCTCTCCTACTGCATGCACTATAGCATCCTCCAGTAATAACATAAGGACTATTATAATCAGCTGGGTTGATAGCATTGTAAACAAGATTATAATCTATTGGTTTAGTTGATGTAGTTGTTGAATAAGATTTTCTATCCATATGATGATTCGTATTAAAAAGCAGGATTATATATGCATTATCCTCTGTCATAGCACAATCTCCAATAGTTTCATATTAAGGTGATCCATACCTAAAAGCAACACTAATACTTATAGAGCTTAAGCTATTTGATGTCACTGTTCCTACTAGAATATCACCATTATTAGTATCGGTATAGCCACAGAAATAAAGCTCATTATTGTCATTTGTTCCTGAGAAAGTTTTTCTCTCTGTCAACATTATTCTTTTCAAAGAAAGATTTTCAGTACCAGTTGGCATTAATGATTTTGCTATTCCTGAATCTCCATAGGAATCAAATTTGTAGAATATCATTTCTCTTTTAGTGGGTCCTACTGTCAAATACTTTATTCCTCCCAAATAAATGTAGTCGTAATTCCTAGTCACCTAGATTGAGTAGCACTATTCATGGTCTGTTGATGTGCCGAAACTCTTTGCGTAGATAACATCGAGAGTGTAATTTAATCTCAAAATGAAACAGTCGTAGCCGCCCAAAGAAAATGCGTTCTAGATAAATCCAGTAACAAAAATGCCTCCATCTGAGGTGGTGTCAACATCAGTTGCTTCTTAGTCTGGTGTGCCTGTAGCTCCTGAATTAGACCAAATTCTGATCAGAGGTGAAATACTCAAGTCATCATCAAGAAGGGCAATTAGTGCACTTACTCTATTCGAGTTTCCACTTGTAGCGGTACCTACAACTATTATATCATTGTTCTCAGTTATTGTTAATGCTGGACAATAACTCTCTTCATTTTCTCAATTTACATTCTTAAGATATGTCACAGCAACCGGATTGCCAAATCTATCCATTCTCGCAAAGAAGCATTCTTTAATAGAATTCGTATTGTCAATGAAGTTACCAGTGAAGAATTAAGCTTTATCTGAATTCCTCACTTCTATATCCAAGGCTCTGGTCTCAATGTCACTTCCATCATTTTTTCCGATCCAATTTATATAGAGCTCTCCATTTGGGCAATTAGAATCTCTGTCAAGTTTTCTTTTTTCGTTTTAATTTGAATAATTCTCTTAAGTTTAGGTTTTTCTACTTGTCGTTTCGATATTCTACTCTTGAGAGTACCTAATGAAACTTCTATATCTAGGATCTTTCTAATCCAGAACAGTATATTAGAAACCATTTGAGCTTTCTAGTTATTACTTCTCTAGATTTTTAAACTTAATATTTTGAGTTTCACTCTGATCTTCTTATGAATATTAATGTTCATTATAATCTTAAGTATTGTTAAATTAATCCTGACTCCTTTTAATATTTTCTTTTGACTTATGATTGCTACTGTATTTATTTCCTCAATAACTCATATTTCTTTTATCCTAATTAAGGTTTTTATCTTGCTTTTAACATCCAGTGAAAGCTATTAATGTGACAACGAGGATAATAAATACTGCATGTCGGTCTTTATAAATATTTAAATGAACTACCATCAAATCTTTTTATTTTAATCTATAATTATTGTTTCAATTTATATTCTATTAAATATCTAATGGGGTTTTGGGGTTTTGGGG